AGACTGATTGACAGACAGATAGACAGACAGATAGACAGACAGGCACACATTGTGCTGCAACGTACTGGAGTGGGTGACGTGTTATGAGGGTCCTGCGTTACAGTGCATGTAGTTGTAGGACTGTGTGTGGATTGTATAATCTAACATGACTTATAATATATGATATGATATTATTAGACTGTGAGTACATTATTGTATTATTGCGTCAATTACACGGAAGACAAATGTACAGCAGGCAGTAAACAGTCGGTGACCCGTACGTATCGTACGACCGTACGACTGCAGGAGGCAACGGTTGGATTGACGTGGAGGAGAGCACCGAGGGGCTTATGGCGGTCCTGGAGTCGAAGGGCCCAATCAGCGGTAAATTCTTGTCGTACAGCGGCGAGGAAATTCCTTGGTAAACATGGGGGAGATGATAATGACGATGAAGACGATGATGGGCCCTATGATTATATGATGGGGGTCATCATCACTGCGGCTCTCGAACGTGTCCTTTTGCTTTTACATCACCCGCGAACCTGCGAACCCGCGAACGTGCGACCCGCGAACCTGGGGTCATGTTGTTTCGCCGCTCGGGCGTTTTCATGTCGGCATTTGCAAAAGTAAATATGTGGTGGTGGTGGTCCTGGTGCTTGCCCGGCGGGGGTCCCGGGGGGGGGATTTATCGGTGGTGGCCCACCCTGGATTTCGTGAAACACATAAATACCGTTGCTTGCCTGAGGCCCCATTAGAGCCGTACTAACGGCAATAACCGCAATATTGTTTGTGCAACCGTACGTATGTACACGTGGTGGCCGCCAAGCAACCGTTAACTGACGGTTTTATGCTGTCTTGGTGGTTGCGTGCGGCAGGTTGGTTGGTTGGTTGCTGTTGGCAAGCAGTGGTGGCGGTTGTGGGCATTCTTTTAGTAGGCGGGTAAGCATGCATGTTTAGATCGCCACGTGCAAGGATCCTGGCGGGGCAGCCCTCCTGCCTCCCGGCTGGCTGCCTTGAGCGTCGGTATGTATGTATGCGTACATTCCCCCTGCTGGGATGATGACGGGAAACACACAGCACGCAGGCTGATCATGAGGAATGAAAGCAAAATACCTTTCTGGGCAGAATGATAGGTGGCGGCGCGTTGCACGTGCATACGTCTGTACCAGTTTCTGCCCGCAGTACGAACACCCCGGGTGCGACTTCGTTTTTGTTAGGTGACCAGGGGACCTAGAGCTCGTTCAGCTGTAGCGCTACCCCCGGTGGGGATCGCTGCTGCTTAGTGCCGGCTGTCGTAACTCGTACGATGTCTGATCCGGGTGTGGGCGGAATGCACGAGCGAGACTAACCAGCCGTGTGCATCTAAACCCCTCCCCCGCTGTGTTTCGGCCCTCTGGGGCCCCCCCGGCTTTTTAGCCCACAGTGTGATCAACGTCATACATGCGTGCAAACATACATACATACATACATAATCGTCTTTATAATCCTTCATCTTTATCCCTTTAACAATTTTTAACGACATTTAACAACGCCATACGCTGCCACGCTGCAACAATTGTTGAGGGCAAGGTAAATCGTCTTCTGGATGGCGGTGCATATATATATATATATACATATATATGTATATATATATATATATATACGTGGTGGGTGCACGTGCACACACATACACACACATATGCACACGTGCAGCTAGCTGTCTACTGCACCATTGATCTGTGTCCCTGTCACCGGATGTCACCGGATGATGGATGGCGGCGGAAAGGCTAGCTAGCAGGTGCCAGTATGTCCCATCGGGCATCGTCCATCCGTCACGAAAGACACGCACACGGCGTCGTATGTCTGTCTACCTGTCTGTCTGTCTGTCAGCCTGGGTTGATGTATATGGTATAGGCCTAAGCGGACGTGCCTGCTGGCCGCGAGGTGCAGTAGTGACGAAAAAATACCTGTGATGAGCATCTTAGAAATCTCACTCCCGGTGCCTCGTCGACAACTTCATTTTAAGGCAGGCAGCGAAAACGAATGAAGGCCTTGCAGTCGATAAAATCCCCAGCATGGCATTCCTCTGTAACAGCTTTACGAAGCAAATGCCGCTGGTACAAGCACCGGCTTAATGGGCACCGAGTGGAGTGGATCGTCCACGGACCAAATACTGAAGGTTTGCGGTGCTTGTGGCTGCCCTGAGAAATAGAAACAAGCAAAAGATCAGGGGGGAAACCCCCTGCACAACCTACCCGCCTCCGTCCTTAAACACAAAGCAGCATTACCATAACAAGAGAACGCAGCAAGATGCGCTCGGCAAATATGCGTTTGAAGAAGGGCGAGGCTGCCGGGTAGCCCTTGGGCGGTACAAGTGCCACAGATAGACAAGGCAGGAGAACGGACAACCGTCAGTAACATAACGACATCCGCGTGCAGTCATAACAAGATACGGCAGACGGGGGCATGCTAAAGAGCAGGTATAGATGCTGACTATGCCCATTCATGCTACTGTCATAATGATTATACCTTAAAGGCCGTACGACATGTCGGTACGGTCAACGGTTGTCCGCTTGGCATGCGGGTCAGCTAGCTAACGATTCCGTAAACATTAGGGGAATAGCAACCACCCTTTTTTTATAAAATAACTATGATCGATTTCCAAAGATTATATTGATTTTTAAGTAGCAGATACCGGGCTAACGGCAAGACTACTTTGGTATTTGCAACTGAACTTCTACAAGTCTTAAGAAGCTTCTTATCACCGGTCGTATGGGGTGCCGGCGGTAAAACGCGAAGGGCGCGCGCGGTCGGCCCTTTCAGAGCGAATAAAATTGTATTTATGACTGAAGTTACATATTAATATTATTCCACCGAGCGGGAAGGTTTATAGGTCTTCATCCGCTGCGCTCGGCACAAAGCAAGTATGCGTTGTTGACTGCTGACTATTATTTGCAACTGCTTCGGTAGAAAGCGCATATGCTTGAGATACCCAGATGTCTACTAAGGAATTGAAAATTGATTTCATGCTTTTAATGATCTGGTGTCAAGATCTGGTAAAATGCCAAAGAACGCAGCCAAGTTACAAGCCTTCGAAACGACAGTCGAGAACACCGTATTGAACTGAGGGTTCAACCGAAAAATAATTCTTCTCTGACGAAAGTCCTTTTTTGGTATTTGCCTCTAGCTTTCAGCTTCTCGGCATGGTGTGGTTAGTTCCTGTTTTTTTGGCGGTTTTCGTTCCTGCTTTTTTGGTGTATTAGGGCAAACTTTACTTACAGCAATTGTGGGTCAAAGCAGAACCGATGAAAACTGCAGGATATGATTGCAATCTATGATACCTTGCTTTCTGTCCCTGAAATTTCGAACGAGCGCTGTACGATTGGTATTCTTTGCATCCTGCTGCGCGAAAACTCTCGCGTCAATATGTAAACCGTTGCACGACAAAGCTTTGTAGGAGCTGTATTTTACATGATCCTATACTCCTTAACCCTTTTGATTTTGAAGTTGTGTGACATGGCGGAAGAGTCTTTGCGAATTTCGGAGCCGTTCTTGCAGAGATTGTATCAAATTCTCGCTTGCGCTTGCCTTAGTGCCTTTCCTACATCCCTTAGCTAGCGACCTGGCCGCGGCTTGGGCGTGTTTCCCCAGGGCGACGGAGTACGCGGCCGCAATGGCAACATAGTGAACCTGGGAGAACCGGCCGGCTGCTACAGCAGCAGCAGGACAGCCAAAACGCTGATATATATCAGCAGTGTCAATGGTCGCGACAGCTATCCTGCCGTGGGGCAGTCATTGCCTCACCGTGCTGCTGCTGTTGTGCAGCCTGCTAGGCTCAGTCATAATGCGAAGTTCTCTTGCCCAGCAGCAGCCGTATGGCGCTTGGAACGCTGTGGAAGATTTGAACGAGCAGCGTAAGGCATGATTTCCGTCTGTAAAGGTTTTACATCACGAGACGATCGTCTATAGTTCCTGCTGTGGTACGTTAGATAGGGACCGCCGTCCCCATTTATTACATAAACCAGAGCAGGATTCATATATGGATATCGACAATAAATATATTTACAGACGTGAAGTAGTGGTAGGCTGCGATTGGAATCATACATGTTTTACTTACGATCGCACACCAGCAGCAGCTACATACGCGAACGCGCACACGTACATCAGCAGTACTCGTTTCAACCCCGCAGACAAGGCCGTCCTGCGCTTCATCCTGAGCGGCAATACCGCCTTCTGGAGCAAGCCCGCTGTTGCCTACCGCATAGGCTTCGGAACTGCACCCTGGCACTGCATCGACCGTTGCCAGGCGCAGTATTATTTCATCCCTAATAATTCCGCTGTCTGTTCACCTGATTGTACGACACCAGTATACTGTCTGCCTGGAGGTGCGTGTGTGTCCGTCAGGGGACATGTAGTAGTGTGTGTCCGTCAGGGGACATGTAGTAGTGTGTGTCCGTCAGGGGACATGTAGTAGTGTGTGTCCGTCAGGGGACATGTAGTAGTGTGTGTCCGTCAGGGGACATGTAGTAGTGTGTGTCCGTCAGGGGATATGTAGTAGTGTATGCTTGGTATATGGGTAAGTCCGTGTATCGTCGCGATGATGGATTCTAATGTCTATTTGTCGGCAAATGCCAACAACTTTATAGACACATATGTCGGAAGGTAAGGGTGTGTATTTTTTTTTGTGTGTGTATGTTGTTACAGGGTGGTTAACTTCGCCAGCGGCCCCCTTTCCCGGGGCAGTCCCTGCTCTCCCCTGCTAGAGGGGCACCCTAATCCGTCACCCCATCCGACTTCAGAATGTATTCGTTGGGTTCGGCAACTCACCACCAGCATCCAACCAAATCTAGCGGATCAACGGCGCATCAACTTAGTTCCTGGTCAGCTCGCAAGTTGATATTATCACGTCCTACACCGTCCATATGATGGGGGGCCACCTCCCATTTCATCACTCCTCAAACACCCGAGGAGCTGGCAGGCGGATTTGAACCCGGGTCGACTGGATCGACTGGGAGCAGAAGTCAGGCCTTAACTTCTGCCGCCTGCCTGTGTATGTATGTCAGCGCACTAACATTATCCTCCTAATCGTGCACTCGCTTCTGGTCCTTCATTACCGCCGACATACATACATGCAGACGCGGCCCGCAGCGACCCCAACATCACCTGCTGTGCACTCAGCCTTTTAGACCAGTCGTACAGGTTCAACCACCCACCCAGTACAGTGCAGCGTGCTTGGTGCGAGAACTACCCCCCCTGGTGAGTGTGTGTGTATGTGGTGCCCAGTCTGTAGATATTATCAGTAATAGAATATGCCCTAGCCTAATAGATAGGGATGGCCCTAACTAATATACTAGGGTGCGATCTAAAGACGATGAAAACCATAGGTGTGAACTCAGTGGCAGCTTGGTGACGAGGTCCACTGGCACATGTGCGGGTGCTTCTCAATACGGTAAGGCAGGGGGCGGCAGGGCTCTGCCCGCACAGTTCAATAGGCCGGCCTGTGCGGTACGACACGCACGCGTGCGGTACGACACGCACCCACGGGCCCTTGTATTATTCGCAGGGGGAGAGATCCGCGACCAAGCGTGTGTGACTTCAATGTGTATGCTGCGCGGGGCCTTATACCCCCGGGGGGTTACAATGACCCGTTCCTGGCCGTGTCGTGTGAACGGGGAGTGACAACAACATTTTATATAACTGGTACAGTGTACCGCAACGACACGGCGAGGCGCATCATTCAGAGGAGGAACATCCGCCTGGCCAACGTCACCCGCAACAACGTCAAGCGAATGTGCGTGGGGGTAGGGGCGAAGGCCTACTAGTATAGTCCATCGTGTTTATGGCGTGTACATACGGCAGAGATGGCGTCAACAGCTTTTTGCGTAACTTTTATAAAGAATAATAGGGACTAAAAGGTATATAAAGGTGGTAAGGAACGTGGTTACATTGTGTTTCCATGTGGTTTACATGTGTGTGTGTGTGGTTGTTACATGTGGTGCATCCTGTCTGGCTACCGTGCTTGTCCATCTACATACCTGCTGATGAATAAGAAATGATGTTGAGGTCGGTGGCGGATCCGACCGGCTGGGGTCGCTGCCGATTGTGCCAGTTATGCCGCCGGCCGCCGCATCCACTCCAATCTAAACATCCGATTATCTGCTGTTGCAGCAGCAGCAACTGGCAGCAGCAGCAGCTGGCAGCAGCAGCAGCAGCTGGCAGCAGCAGCAGCAGCAGCTGGCAGCAGCAGCAGCAGCTGGCAGCAGCATCGCTGCTACTGATGACCGCTCGTCACTCTCCACGGATGCTCGATAATGAAGTGTGCCCACACATCGCACATTCCCGCTCCATCCTTCATCCACAGATCCCTCCGACACTTGCCTGCATGGCACCACCCGTCCATCAACATCACGGAGCCTCCCGAGTTCAGCCTGGTGGACGACCTGGTGTGCCTGCCGCTGGAGGAAATGTGAGCTACTTAGCTCTTTGCGCTTGGCTGCTGGCTGTGTGGGGCCAGTAATGCTATCAGCTATTAACATAACGGTATTGCTGAAATCCCTGCTGTCCAGATAGATTTTGGTTATTAGCGTTACTGCTTCGGAATCATTAGATCGAGGTCTAGATATCTGGATATGTTTACCTGGCGGTACTGCTGCTGGCAGGTCCGCCGTGCATTTATGTAGCCATCAGTTCCAAGCCACCCACGTACCGCCGCTTTAAAATCTCCCGTTCGCCGAAGTAATGATTGGCGTTCCACAACTTAATAAGCCACATCGTATATTATAATAATGCGACGTGACAACGGGGTAGGTGCATAAAAGCTTGTAATTTACTGGCGACAACAGGGTTACATCGATATGACGGCTGGTGATGGCCGTAACCTTTTGTCTATCTGCTGGCTGCTTCGTGTGCTCCATGTACATATGCGTTATAACTGATTATCTATCTTATTATTGTTATCCTTCTTCGCTTAATGCATGTAGCTACTTCGAGGACGTGGTATTTCGCAGCATATACGATGGCCTGGCTGTCTTCCCGGATCTTCAAGGCCCCAACGGAACGAAGTTCGACCTGTGAGTGATGAAGGGAAAGGAGGAGTTCATTTATTTCTTTATTTCGTTTTGTCTTTCCGTGATAGCAGTATGAAATAAAGACTACCGCTAGGAAAGTCTGCTAGCAGCTATCCAATCACAGAACGAACTAGCAGCCGCTGGCAGTATTACTACTTGTCGGTAGGGTAACCGACATAACGAGCTAACGACCCAGTAACTGTGGGCCACCGACCGATCTAAGGTTACCGGTCGGCAAGGCAATAACCGACCAGTAAGGTTATCAGTCAGCAACAGGGTCGTTACCTCCTAATGTCGGTTACCCTACCGAAGCGACCGATTTGGGTTATATAGCGAACCAGTCGGTTACCGGCCCTTTTATGCCCTAGGGCCGCCGGGCCTTCTGGCGCCGCCTAGGCGCCGCAGGCTGGTTCCTTTCCTCTCTAGCTGAGCGAGTGCGCGTGTTCTTTCTTTTGCTCTTTTCCTGTTTTGAAATCCAGGTGGAACCACACAACATGGAACTGCAACCCGAAGAACCTTCCGCGCTGGAACGTGACTGAATTTGGGTTCGCAAATGTGACCAATTTGGGCCACCCACTGAATGGAAGCTCGTACTTCAGCCTACTCCAATGTAAGTGATGAGGCAATGTACGAGCGAGGTTATTACGGACGAGGTGTGCATGCCACATACTTTTTAACAAGATTCCATGTATGCTGTACCTCCTCCTGTAGCGAGCTGGCCTCACGCTGTAAAGGTCTCTCGAGATGCTGGTGTCAAGCGCTTCGCGCGTATTTTTGTAGTTGTTATGTGTGCCGTACCGTGTACCAGCTACTGCACGTCCGTCCATGCATGTGGTGACTACACCTTGCGTGTAGCAGTAAACATGCACATGCACATGCACATGCACATGCACATGCACATGCAGCAGTTTGCCGTCCAAGCCGTCCAAAAAGGGCTGCGGCTTCGCTGTGGGAACTCCTTGCAAGTGCATGCGTGCATATGCTTCATTATTGCTCCTTATAAGCTGCGCTGGGCGCGAGCCTCAACCTGAAGAATTGACAGCAAGCAAATGTTTGTTCATTCTATCGGTAATAAAGAACCACCCAACCATCCATTCCACCTGCTGTATGTCGCACCTACGATGCATGCCTAGTGGAATGCGGCATGGGACGCGCACTGGTACGACAAGGTGTTTCCAGTCTCAATCCCCAACTCGCGATACGTGACGTTGCGTATCAGAAGTGCGTTTTCGCGCCTTTTACGGAGCTCAACGCAATGAGGTACGCACACATACATATACACGAACGTTATATCTAAACATTTTCAGAAATCTCCGTACGCATTGATGACGGTTCATATCCTTGTCTCTACTCTCGCTGAAATTGTTCTCGTGACTGCTGTCTCCGCACATCTCGCTCCGTTTTTTATAACTTACTAGAATAGCTCGGTCGTCCCCCAGTTGCTGCATGCCATCTGGCTGGGATGTAAGTTGTTTAATCGTCCGTACATGGCACCACGGTCTTGGTATAATAGAATGGGACGGCCCTTCTAGCCCTGCTGGTCATTGACACACACTGTTATTTATTTGTGAACTAATAATGAGCCAATGGGCCGACGTTGCTGCTACTGGCCCTACTGTTTTCACACACATACACACAGATGGTCTGGGCGAGCCCGCCTGGAGTGGAGCGCAGACCTCCGTACGGCACTGGAGTACGTTAAGTACGGCAACCAGACCCTTCCCCGAGGTTGGCAGCATCCCTCAATACCCGACCCGGCAGCTGCCCGGCCCTTCCTACCAGACACACTCAGGCGGCTCACCATCAAGCGGACAAACGATGCAACGCATCCCTCCAGGACATGGACCGGCAAGCCGGTTGTCAGGGGCTTCTTGCCTGCTGAATGGGCGCTGCTGAAGAACCTGGAGTACCTGTGAGTGCATACATATGATGCGGTTTCATGTATGTATGTATGACTTAGATTACACTGTGGGCCGCGGGAGCCGGGGGCCGAAGCCGAAGCACAGCGCAAGGATCGGGAGCAAACAGCACAAGTCGGTATGTATGTATCACGTGAGTGAGACCATCAATTTCGACTGCATGCATGCTGTGTGTCACGTGAATAAGATTTCAAGATACCTCGGCATCCTAGATGGGCGCCTTCGTATCACGTAGAGCGCCGCGCCTACTATATATCCATAGCAGATGCAGATGGCAAAAACGTGAAGGATGCGTGCATGTATGCTTGTGCTCGCTGTTACATATTACTGGGGCCATCATGCACACGGTTTTTTTATACGTATATATCCTATGCGCATATAAGAACGCATGATGCTGTCAACATGTTTACGTCATGCATATGTATGTCGTCGCTTCGTTTAAAAGTACGCGCAGCAGCTTAACCTGGCGGGCGGGGAGGCAGCAGCAGCAGATAATACCGTCGTGCCGTCGTCTGAAGTGCAATGCCGACTCGTACTCATCATGGGTATGCATACTTGTGCGTATGCATGTGTGCATGTACGTATGTACGTATGTACGTATGTACCCTGCGTGCACGTGCAGAGACCTGAGTGACGACATGGGCGAGGGCCTTATCGAGGGCCCTATTCCTAGCACCTGGATGATGATGACTAAGCTGAGGATTATGTAAGACGGCGGAGGCCAAGGGGTGGCTGCCGTACAGAAGTCTGCATGCCCCGCCCGCCCGCGCACGCAGCAGCAGCATCGCATCGCTTCGCTGTATGTCCTTGCTGCGGGTGTAGGGGTCGATTTGCTCGGGCGGCGGGGGGAACAAAAGGCGGATAGATCCTTCACACCTCAGCTGTGTGCCCAGGTGTCATGTGTGCTATAGTACACCATTACTACTACACTACATGGGTACGTATGTATGTATTAACATCCGTTGACAGGTCTGCATTCAGATACGTCGTTTTGTAAACCCTAAAATTGTTATCTAGCTACGCACGTGCTGCATACATATATACTTACGTACATGCCCTGATGCAGAATTACCACCACGCAGTAGCCGTGTTTATGCAGCAAGCTACTTCCAACTGCATGTCCATCTACCTGAAATGCATGCAGTAACTTGACTGGCCAGCCTAACTTCTGCAAGGATTGGCACAGGCAGGTAACAAGCGCTGGGACATGAGAAGAAACACCATCCACTTAGGAAAGGTGGTGCGTGATGCTGTGTCATCTACACATCGGTATGGCTATGTATTACATGTTGGATCATCATCGGGACATAGTCTATGTCCCGATCTATGCCACATAGATCGACCGTGCGGGGCTGCATCCACGGGGGCCATCCACGGCGTGTGGGGGGCATCCGCGACTAGGCACGTACACTAATATATCTGCTGTGCCAGATAGTAACTGACGCTCAGCGTGCAGGCAGCAGTGGGCAGCGAACGTATGGTGCTCCGGCTTGCCGCAACGAACAATCCTTACACCCATCCCTCTTTATCCTCCGACAAACCAGCTTCTCATCATTATCATCATCTGTCTCGCGCAGGTTTGTCTCCTACAGAATAGATGAGTTTTGTCGCCAGGCTGGCTTTGTTCTCCAGCGCCTCGGGAGGCTGCCCTCCAACTTCCCCAAGTGCGGTTCAGTTCCTCCGCACTACTACGGAAAGGGTTTTATGAACCAGAACAACAATTCGCGATATTTCGTTAACGTCAAGGTGTTTGATATGGATGGCGCCGGATGGCAGTGGTTCGACAAATCTACCGGCGAAGGTAAGCAGCGGCTGCCCTAAACGCATGAATGTGACACATACATACACACGCACCCGGCTGTCAGTGCATGGCGGCCCCGTGGCGCGGTGAAATGCACACCGCCCGAGATGTGCGCCTCACATCATGGCACCTGAGAGGTGTTTGCCGGCGGCTTGGTTGGACATCCATCCACATGCCAGTGGACGATTTCGGAGGCGACTAGAGGCAGCTCGGATAGGGGCCGCAGGTTCAGCTCCCTTGGCATCTCCCTGAGTACTCTTTGCCTGGTGCGAATACGGTGTATGCACCTGCGAGAGATTTTTGTTATTGGTGATTATCAATAGCGTTTCCCAACCCGTGCATCGCTAATCTCCTTATTTTTATACACGCGCCGGGCTTAATGGCCCTGGAGTCAACTATGAATATAAACGTAACATTGTGCCGCGGCCGGCCGTGAGCCTGGTTGTATGACACCAGCAGCTTCTGTGGTAGTGAGAACTGCCGATTTTAGCGGGTGGCGTATGTTGCATGATATCATCGATGGGGGCCTCATCTGGGGCTGTCCTCCTTAGGTGTCCTTGTCCCCACCGTCCGCCGTCTACCTAGCTTGTCTTTTATGTTTTCATGTACGTAAGCCCCCCGCTGTTCCAGCGGTCTCCGAAGTCCCCTTTAAAGGGGAAGAAGGGTTTCATTCCCGAAGTTCCCCTTTAGGGGACTTTGTCGTCAACTTTTGATTCCCTGTTCGTGGAGGATACAACATCCCAAGCAGCTACTTTACATCTATATATATGTGTTGAGTTCCTTGTCCCCCCCTTGGACCCTTGCATGGACCCATACACATATGCAGCCGGCTACACCAACGTCATTGCGCCGGATAGCAAGTGCTGCTGGGATACCTTCAGCATGCATGCAAAGGAGCACCAATTCACCATTTCAGGTCCGGACAATGTCACAGATTTCCGGGACTACAGCGGTGGTACCCTGCAGCAGAGTCTGGATGTTTGTGAGACGTCCCGGCCCCTCTACTTCGGGCTGTCGCGGAAGGCAACTGGCCCCAAACCTCGCCTCCCGCCAGTAAACCCCATACCGCCAGATGTTCCTGCCGTATCTCCACTTCCACCACTGCCACCGACGCCGATGCCGACATCAGCAGAACGATCGCCACCATCGCCACCACCCGCACCGTCCTTCCCGCGCTTGCCTGGAATTTCTCCTCTGCTGCCGAATGCCCCGCCCCAACCTCCAAGGCTCATTTCATTCCTTGGGAAGTGGGCTGGTGCCTGGGCATACTCGCCGCCACTCCCGCCGCGGCCCCCACCACCACCCTCAATGCCGGCTCAGCCTCCGAGCCCCCCGCCACCACCAAGCCCTCCTCCGGCGCCCCCCGCTGACTGCCCTCAGGCAACTTTTGCCATGCCTTCTATTGCACGAGGCCCTTTCTACATTGTCATTGCAGCTCCTGCAGCTGTGGATGTCCCAGGCATGTTCTGCAGAGCGTGCAGTTGTAACCTGGCATATGCAATATTGGATCGTGGGGTATCGGCCTTTTACACGTCATCCCCTAGGACGACGCGTACGACCGCTCAGTCCGCAACAGCGGACTGGACCGAAATCAGCTTGGAAGGCATGACCAGTAGTGAAGTAGTGGACCCTGCTGGGGGCCGTCACAAGGACGACTACTATGGACTTAGCGGTGGCGGGGGACAGCCGGTGGACGAGGCTGCGGAGGTGGTTGTCAGCCGCCATCACGGCCTCCCGTTGCAGCAGCAGCAGCATCGAGGGCGGCAGCTGCGGCAGCAGCAGATTGGGCCGCCATCCCCACCACCTGCAGGGACATTGCCCACCCTTGACCAGCTGCTTGAACGCGGGCTCAGTAATACAGCAGGGGTGAACCGAGGAGTGCTCAAGGTAATACGACGAGTGGTATGTGTAATAAAATAGTGGAGGGGCGCAGAGTGGTTGTTGTATTGCTTGTGCGACGACAATGCAATCAGCGCTCGAAGATGAAGAACTTACGGCTTACTTTGGGGGTTTAAAAAAGGGATGAGGGTAAAAAACGTACGACCTGACTATGATGAAAGGGTGCACAGAAATCAGCCGTAGTCATGCTACGTGCTCGTACTATGTAATAATAAATCATCAATCTGCTGACGCACTGCTGTGTGTACTACTCCTGAACGCATGGGAACATAATGCATGGATGGCCGTCCTTTTCCTTTTCTACCCAAGACGGGCAACCTCAACACCACAGCGCCTCCCGGTGTTGACGGGGAGACGTGGAAACGACTCGATTCGATCTGGCGGATGGAGCCCGGAGTCCAGGGTGATTATCTCTTCAGGATTCAGGCAGGTGACCTTAAGGCCACCAAGCTTGCTTGCTTGCTTGTACGAACATATCCGTTGATGTATAGATAGATAGACGTGCACATACATATCTCTGTGTGTGTTACATGGTTGGGGTTGCGTGAACCCATACAAGCTGAAGGCCCAAGGGGAAATACCTAAACGCCTAAAAGCCACGAGGCACATTTTTAATGGTTGTTCTCCTATCTCCGAAAGTTTCATGAATTCATTATTAAATGCTGTATCTATGCGCCTACCTACGAATGGTGCATGGCCGAATCCGCTGCTGTCCGACGATATCTATCTACCAGCTCGATTGCACACAACGCACACATACACGCACATAAACGCACGTGCGCGCAATTCCATGAACATGCGTATGAAATCATCATCAATGACTCTTGAACATTCATACATACATACATGCATACATACGAACTCGTTGTTTTGTTGCATGTCAGGCGGGGGCATCTGTCTGGTATCGATGGGTATTGGTCGATGCGGATGCCCCTCAAGTTTATGGCCAGATGCGTATGTCCAACAGCTTCGCGACACTCGCAAACCCCATCGCTGCTTCCTCAGCGAGTGGAGTCACAGCTCCGTTCATACGGTACATGGTTGCGCTAATAAATACATCTGAACCAGTTCAGAAACCTGACTTGGAAGCGGTGCTGCAGCTCGTTGGTGGTGTGTCACTGCTCAGCTCAGAGTGCTTTGAGTCGGCAGATGCGGCCAAGGAGATATCATCAAAGGCTGCTTTCATTGCTTCAACGACAGTTGTGGCAGCCGTGGGGCTGTCTAAGTCGGGAGCAGGTGGACAAGGGTGGTCGGTGCCATCGCCAGCGGTGAACCCGGCATTATTGCAGCTCGATGGGCGTTCCATAAACCTCACCGCGCTGTCTGGCGTTTCGTATGTGCAATCATGCTTGGCAACGATGTATGCTCCGGAAGGGAACAAGGTCTCCGTCATCCTGCCGGAATTTGGTGTGGTGGACTGGGCGGGCAACGTAAACCGCGGGTAAGTTCACGCTCATTAGAGGGCTGCAGAGGGTGTCAGGATTTCCTTTTCCTGAAATGCCATGTCTATTTCTGCGATTCAAGATTTGCATGCATAGCCGCAAGAAGTGCTTAGACACGGTGGTAGCTAGCATTATAATGGTGGCGTTCGGTAGTGTAATCACAAGCAACCTTGTCTTGCCATTCCCCCCAAAACGATGATGGACATACATACAGGCCATTAGTCCTGGAGCCCCGGCTACCGGGCACAAGGCTGGCGTCTGCGCACAGCTCCTCCCGTGTAGTCGGGGGATTCTTAGTCGCGGTCTTCCTGCTGCCCGTGCTCACCTCCCGCTGGTCGTCAGTGCAGAGCATGCACCATGTGCAGGTACGCGAAGGGGAGGGGCGCAGCAGGTGCTGCGATTCATGGAGAACTATCGAGCGGAACTTTAATTATGCCAATTTTTCGAGCTATGTTTTGAAAAATAAAAGGACGAAGATGAATCGGATGCAGTTTATCAGTCGAAGCATACGGTCGGGCCTGGAAGTGTTAAGGAGGATGCTGGCGGGCTGAAGGTGATCCTTGTGCTCTCGTCATTCGCTCCTCCTAGTTTTCTCTGCTGGGAGCTTCCCCCTTCCCGTTTCAGAGCTAGCTACCTGACAATGGCGGAAGTTAAAGTGAACATGCATAGGAAACGCCCGCTTGCATGTTAAGGGGCGGTGCAGCTTATGAGCTACCCGCCGTCGCCGACACTACCTCTTATTGGTTGTTAGATAACAGGTACATGCATGCAAGCAAACAGGCAACACGTTTATTATTATCATTATTATTATTATTATTATTATTATTATTATTATTATTATTATTATTATTATTATTATTATTATTATTATTATTATTATTATTATTATTATTATTATTATTATTATTATTAAATCTTTTCCTTGCATTTCACATCACGTCTCTTAATTCTCATCGGCGACTACGTGTATTCATCGGCGGTTCATTACTACTTTCATTACTACTACACTAACCCGACCTTACCCACTTTTTGTTGGTTCATCAGATGCTGGCCATGTCGGCAACCATGGCATCCCCCGGTGTCATCGTGGGCTATCGCCTAATGGCACGCAATCTGCGCTGGTCCGTCTTCAGCGTGAAGGGAAACCTCCCAGCCCTCGACAAGGCCTTTCCTAGTAACAACCTTTCTGATTATATCAATATTTTGGACCATGCTCGATCTGTCCTAGGCTTGGATACCCAGCGGTCGATTAATCGCACTGCTGCGGAAACTCCAGGAGCTGGTGAGAATGGCACGAAAATTTTCACCCCTCCGGGATTCCCTTTGGGCCTTTCCCAGCCACCTTGGCCTCCAAGGCCGGGTGCAGCTGCCCTCCACCGCCGCCGCCGCTCCCGCCGTGGTCGAGCTTTGTCGTCATCCTCAACCAAACATGAGGCACTACAACTGCATGAGGCACCAGGACTGACGCCGCCACTCCTACTGCGACACCGCCAACAGTCCCCTGCTGCTGGGCCCGCCGCCTCCATAGCACGTGATGATGGAATACAAGCCGGATACCGGATCGGTAGCTACCCCAGCCTAGATGCATTAATCTCCTGGCTGAAAAGTGTGAACGAGCTCAACAGCAGCGACAGCGGTGCTGGCGCCGATGCGTATTACAGAAATGCTTCCAACAGTAATAGCAGTAGTGCGCGTAGCACATATGTCATTGCTGGCGCCATCGCTGCTGGTTATAGTGACTACGATGGCGGTTATGCTGACGATGTAGTTACCCTGGATTCCGCTGGGCGAGTACTCAACAAAAGCTCGTCATCATCTACTGGCTGGAATTATAATGCGGCTCCACCACCCATGGGCGGCAACCGAGCCAGCAGCGGGGCTGCTGTTACCATCATGACAGACATACAAGACGTGCGTTACACGCTTGTGGTCTCTGCGATAGCCATGGGCTCACTTCTTACGCTGCATGCGCTGGTGGCATTTCATTTCCGGTTGCGAAGTGGAGTTATGAAGGATTTGCCACCGCAGCTTTCGTTCCCACGTCCGGAGGTGAACCTTGGAGGTGAGCAAAAACGTACTCCTCGCTTCACAGCAAGTGAAATGTGCACAACATGTATGTGCTGTGAGACATTTGTCTGACAGAATGTGACAGGATGACCTCTACGTAGTCGCAAACATCACCACCATGCTTAAAATTACGCCAGCAGCAGGCGTCTGAGTATACCTCCGCCGTTGCTCTGGGGTCTGGCAAACGTACATAACTGGATGAGGGTGCCCCTCTAAATACCCGCGGGGAAGGCAGGGTCTGCCGGGTAGCGGCTGCAGGGTGAAAGATATCACCCCCCTGTCCCACACATCACACATCATACATTTACTTGCAGCTACAGCAACCACGATCCTTTATTTGTCCCGACGGGGCAGAAATCATTATTAGTAGATTCCCATATTTTGAAGTAAGCCACTACTGTTCTCATTACAGGACTGATATTGGTGGCCTTGGCATTCATCGCGTCCAGTGATCTGGCTGCTGGGCCATCATCAGCCATAGGAACCGGACATGTTACTCCAGCTGTACTTGTGCTGGTTGTAGCAGTTGTACCATATCTACTGTTCATGTGGTGGCTAACCGTTTGCCGCTGGTACTTGGTGGTAAAGGTGAGACCCTAGGGCAAAAGAGTAAAATCATAACACGTCATCATCATGCAAGCTTAAGTATTAGTGTTTGGACATGCATGGACAGCTCTTCATCACCAACTGCAACGTCTGATTTGTGCTGTATGTGTACACCAAAACCATACGCGTGCGTAGGAAATGCCTGACCTGCATATCCTGCAGCAGCAGCAGCAGCTTGGAGTCTTAGGGACGCACGATGGCGGCAGCGCACCTAACCAGCCGCAAGCTCTACAAGCTGACAGCAGCATAAAAGATGCGATGGAGCTGTCCGCCTTTGGGAATTCTACACGCAAGGATACGTCTACTGTCCCAACAGACGCCTTATTTGGACAGCAGGACAAAGTCAAAGGCAGAGTCGTCGGGCCTCTTTCCCGACCTCCAGCCATGCCTGATGTCCAACCCCAAGACGAACCAGCTGATACATCGACAGCTGCTGAGAGTGACACCAGTTTGCCAGTTGCGTGTGGTGATGAAATCCAGCCCCAAGTTGAGCTGGGTACCGAATCCCAAACCGAGCGTAGTACCAGGCCTGGGGTTGGGCCTGGACCCTCTGCCACATCAGGTATCTTCCCTGTCCTGGGACCACACTGGGCCCTGCCCCCGCCAGGTGCGCGAATACCAACCTGTGTAAGTAAGTAATGTGTTCAGCTGAGTCACCACCCTGCGTGTCACATGCCTGCCGAGCACTGGCACTAGCGATGCAGCGAGGGACCTGCAGTGTGATGTCCAACGAAGGCCTCAAATACACACGCGCTTATATCTTGTCCTTTTTATGTTCAGGTTATGGGCAGGTGGGGTAGCACACCACAGCAAAGGAGTAGCGCACACGATGACATTTCTGCACGTGCTCAAAAACCACTTAATATCACCCTACAACGACATGATGTACACCCCCCCACTGAGCTGTCGTTAATGCTGTCGTACCATGCATTGAAACCTCTGCTGTCAATGGCACTCCCTTTGTTCCAGAATCGGTATCAAGTTCAAAGGCTGGCTGGGCCTTGGCCTACAAGCTCAGCGTGGCTCGTGTTAAAGCTGCGCTTTTCGTCGGTCGCAGCAGGCATCTTCTGTCAGCCCAGAAGCAGCAGCAGCAGCAGCAGCAGGCGAAGATGCAATCCCCCCCAGAAACCCTCAATGAGGAGGAGCAGGTGGCCCTCGACCTGGTTCCGGAAGGTGTTATTAGTAAACCACATGGCGGACACTCTTCACAGCAGTACAAGCTTAAGGCGGTCCCTGCTGCGCCTTCGAGTCGCTCTCCTGTGAGAACCAGGGGGACACTACTTCAAGGCTTGCTGAGCAGCCTTTATGAAGCCAAGAGGCAAGGTGTTGGCGGTGGTTCGTCCGGGAAGCAGGCATCAAAATTGCCGGTGGTAGGTGCCGGCGACGGGCACAGCAGCTCCATTATTGCAACTTCAAAGGACCCGTCAGCCCTTCACACATTACTGCAGTCATCAAAAGACGGCACACGCCAGCCGAGGCCCTTCATGATGAGCGCGCAGCAGCAGCAGCATGGCCCCAATGTCGAATCTACTGCTGCCAGCAGCAGCAGATCCTCCCCTAGAGGACGAAGCCCACCTAATAAAAGGCCTCGACCGCGGCGGCCTAGTAACCCAGGGTATCATGGGTCTCCCAACACGAGCCAGCAGGAGCAGCAGGCCACCGAGAATCACGATGCTGGCGGCGCACTTGAAGGGACATCCGCAGCCATGTTTGGTTCAGCAGACGCAGGCGAACCGCCCAAGGCCTCAAACAGGGATACAGCAAGGCGTCCTGACAACTGGCAACAGGAGAATGTGCACGGCAACCGTCTTCAAACTGAGATTGTTGTCAGTTTGCACGACAGAGCAGTCTCTCCCAAAACCCAGGGAATGATGACTGCCGCCGACAATAGTTCCAACCCCTTCCTCGGAGGCGTTTCCAACCCCTTCCTCATGATGGGCGTTTTCAATAACCCCCTCCTGAAGGAAGAATCCAACAAAGCCCCCAGGAATGACTCCAGCCCCTTCCTGCGAGCTGTCACAGAAGCAGAAAAATGCATCGCAGGAAAAGCAGGCCACAAGCATGGACAAACAAAAGGAGCCGTGGGTAGTAACACAGGACAGCAGCAGCAGCAGCAGCAGCCGCAGCAAGTGAAGCTGCACGGCCCATCACGGATGGCTGGAGCAAGGCCCCCGTATAATATTTCGGTGAGATGAGTCGAGCTGGTAGGGTTTTCACTTTTTCCTGACCTACCCCCCCTGATACGTCCAGAACAGTAAGGAACGGTATATGCAGTACACATCGTACATGCATTACAACACGCGCATTAGCTCATTACTCAAAGGGGCAGGGGCGCCCAAACTATCTGGGCTTCCGCTTCGTGCTTTGCAGGACAAAGAGGATGCCTGCAACAAGGGACACCCTAACGTGATGCCATCACCTGCCATCCCAATGTCTGGTGAATCCGAAGGCGCTAACGGCAGCAGTCCTCCTCCCCAGCCTAAAGCCGCCAGGTCACCAACAACCCGCAGTGACAGGCCACTACAACTTACACCTGCATTCGCCATGGCACCTTCTTTGGTGCCGATCCCACCCACCCAAGTAGCCACAAGCTCTAGGCCACCTGAGGTTGGAATTGGTATGATTCCAACATCAGATGGTTGGTCTGTACAGCAGCGACCAAGGCAGCCTCAAAGTAATGCCATCCTTACAAGCAACGAGTATGAGCAGCAAGGTGTTGGCAGCAGGCAGCAGAGAGTGGATCGAAAGTGGTGGCAGGCAGGGCCCGTGGGGGAGGCAACCGAGGATGATGAGCTGCCACCTACCACTGCTGGCCTCGACACCAGCCTCCACCAGCACGTACCTCTAAACGGACTGATGTCTCCTTCTCCAGTGAATACGCAAGCAGCCACCCTACCATACCAGCGTCGGCTCCAAGGTATCTCCGGCAATGGCGGCGGCATGAAGAGTAGCATCGGGCTCCATGATAGCAATAGGGGCAGCACCCAAGGGTACGTCATGCACTACAACATACTTGCCGGACACGGCGGCAGGCAGTGGGACAACACGCTACAAACACCCGGCGTCGCACTTCCTACGACTCTCGCAGCATGGTGGGATCGTCAACAGCAACAGCAGCAGGTGGACAGCCGGACTACTCAAACAAACTTGATTTCTGGAACCTCCGCGGTGGTGCAGCAAAGCAGAACCCGCGAGGGGAGTAATGGTACGGCAGTAACGGCTGCCAGCCCAGGGGCTGCAGGAGTACTCCTGCCTGTGCTGCCGGAAGGAGGGCGGCCTCTGTCGCCCTCGTACCTGTTGCTGGCAATCCCAGGATTCGGAGATGCCACGACTGCCGGGCAGGGGATGACGAGCGAGTACATACCCATGGGCAGTCCTGCGTGGCGAGCTGCTGTTGGAATGTCCAAGTCGCTCACCCCGTACCCCGGTAAGCCGAGGAATGAAGCATAGCGACGAGATATAAAGCTATAACAACCCATGCAGGTGTGAATAATAGATATAGAACAGTTTCAAAAGCTTCAGTACATGCCATCGCGTGTATCCATCTCCGGACATTGAGAAGGATTTGCATGCAACAACACATTTCATCCCGACCCGTATCATCACATACATACATGCAGGCAAGCTCATTCCCATGGACCTGCTGGACTATCAGCCAGGCTGCTGGCCGCTTCGGTGGCATCTCACACCAACGGTTCAATTCCTGGCACGTTTCGAGTTCTTGTTTGAGGAAGCAATCGGAGTAAGTTTTAATCAGCCAAACAATGATAATTTATAGTTTAAAAAAAATTTTAATAGCGAAGACGTGGATTATGGGATTATATTTCTTGGGCCTGCAGCATTTTTCAACCGCAGGGAAGCAGTCCCCATGCACCCGTACTTACGTGCTTACTTCCGGAGGGCACTGGCGGCGTGTGGTTGGAGGTCATCACTCCACCCATGCTCCTGCTGCCCTCATTACACACCCTCCTGGTAGCCTGAGCCGCACATCTCGGGCGGCTGTGCAATTACTGTTAACCGCGGGGCATGGCCACGACAGGCTAATAATAATAAACGAGCCGCGGGTGGACTCCGGCCCTGCTTACTAGGTAGAAGACTGGGCTATCCAAGCTGTTCGTGCTGAGCTAGCCTCAGGTCATATTATCAATAAATAATATAATATTATCAATAAATAAATAAATAAATAAATAAATAATTAATAATAAATAAATAAATAATAAATAAATATTGAAATTGTCGTTCCCGTGCTCGCCCCCTAACTCCGACTCCCTCATTTTGCAGGTAGGTAATCAACAGGCAGGCCGGGAGACAAAGCTAATCCTTTCTTCCAGGTCCATCAATCACACGCACAAGGTTCTGTGTGCCGCCACATTTGGAGCCGTCGGCATTCATACCCACAACACTGCGCAGGTTGTGGCGCTGTGTGCACTGCAGGCGGCCATTGTCGCCTACCTGGTGCTTTGGCGGCCGTTTGTGGAGAAGCCGAGGCTTGTCATGGAGCTGGTTTGCCACGTGTTTGAGATGGTGCTGTTCATCTGTGCAATCTTGCTGCTGAACGCCGTCCCAGACGAGAATGCAAGAACCACCTACCTCATGATTGGTAAGCATTCTCGTCTGATTTCCTCAGCAGCAAGTAAAAAACTAAAAAAGTAAAAAAAAAACAATAGCGGTTGCTCGCTCGTTCGCTCTGGGCAATGGGGATATTTAGTAAATCAGATGGCCTGTATATGATGCGGATGGATAGTGGTGTTTGAATCGCACGGAGGAGGAAGGACATCACTCTTCTTTTGCGTCTCTTGCAGGAGATGTAAGCACAGGGATTGGGATTAATACCATGTATTACCCCACCAGGCCTGCCGCCTCCTGCTGTGATTACTCGCACGCTCCTCCCTGAGCATTTATCTGTGTGGCGCAGTGTGGTTACCATAATTGTTGATGCTCGTCCTTCCTGACTTCATGCACTACTACTATTCCTACCACATTGCACCTTCCGAAAACAACCCCACATGTGGTACTGTACGGCAACTCTACGGGCACGTAGAATACATGTATAACTCATAATCCGATGTAGTCCTGGAATGCATATGGGAGATATGCTACATACCCGTGCACGTCTCTAATTGTTGATACTCGTCCTTCCTGACTTCATGCACTACTACTATTCCTACCACATTGCACCTTCCGAAAACAACCCCACATGTGGTACTGTACGGCAACTCTACGGGCACGTAGAATACATGTATAACTCATAATCCGATGTAGTCCTGGAATGCATATGGGAGATATGCTACATACCCGTGCACGTCTCGTGATGCCCACCTCCCTAACAATTAAAACCCTGCTGTACACCGCTGATGCCTTTGATTACCTTGCAGCATGCTTTTTCGTGGTTTCGCTAGCAGCAATCTTGCACGAGCTGTGGTACCTCCTGCCAGATCTGTTCAGGCTCTGGCAGACGGGGGTGAAGCCGTGTCTGGCACAGAAAGTAGCAGGAGCCTGGAGCTCGGTAAGGGCGTGGCTCGCGCGGAGAAAGGAACAGCAGCAGGTGGCCGCAGCGAACAACGCCGATCAGGCGGCTGCTGGGGACGAATACCTTGATCAGGCGGCCCAAGGAGAAGACCTCGAGCTGGCTTGTGTAGACGGCACCGAGCAGCAGGCTAGGGGGATAACCGGCGGCATCGACCTCGGGCAACGGGCTCGGATGCAGTAACATGCATTGCCAAAACCCACATAACGGGCATGGCCATCGAGCAGCAACGGGCTCGAGGAACGGCATTGAGGAACGGCATTGAGGAACGGCATTGAGGAACGGCATTACTCATAATGATGAGCAGCAGCCGTACCCGCGGGTGGAGGCGGCCGCCGGCTGGTGGATGGTGGAGGTAGAAGCATGCCAGCCAACTTTCATGATCAGGTGCTAGGCCGCTTTTACCTCAGGTCCATGCCTTGCTGCCACCAACTAGCTTGGCATGGAGTGCACACAACAGCTGCTTCAATGCCGAATGGCGAATGGTGGCCTGCTGCCTGGTCGATCTGCATGCGCTGGAATTAGCATACCATCGCCCATGCGTGTGCCACTGTAGTACCCCTGGTATATCACCCGGGATCTGCTTGCAGCCGCCGATCGGTTCTTTTCTAAAAAGTCGTGATATAACAACCATCCACAACCGATGATGAAAGCCCAGCAAAAGCCCGGCGTACTGTTCTCGCAGCTTCGAAGGTGGATGCCATGCATGTACCGCATATGTACCGCATGTATGTACCTGCATGTATAATATACATGCATATTCACATTCTCATCGGAATGAGAGCAAGATCTATCTGCTGGCCGCTGAGGTCCATCACGGACGCGCAGGGGGACCCACTTGAGGAGTACCGGCAGCTGCATCATACACAAGATGGATGCGTGAGGTGACGGCCAGCATGCATGCAGCCATCCATGCTGTATATATGTAGCCATGGTTGGGCACGTGTGCGTGATCCGACAGCGAGCAGGAAAGCGAGCTTATTTCATCGAAGCCTTATCTTGCACCTGCTAGCTATGTAAATCCATACATGGACTTGTAATACCCCAGCTGTGTGCATACCATGCATAGTAGCATTAGTGCAAGATACCTAGCTAACCTATAGGTAGTTTGTTAGTTTTGTCTACTGCATGCACGCGCTTCTATGCTCAAGTGAACCAACACGTGCACCTTCAAATGACAGTATTGGTTTGTTTTTACGCCTTATTAGCAGTCTGTGTTGGAAATGTCCGACACTCATATACCAGTGAATGGTAACCACAGTAATAGGACCCGGCTGGGGTCCGGCGCTTTGTTGGTTTTGGTTTTAACAGTCTGTCTGTCTGTCACGTGATGCTATGACCCTGCTAGATAGCCTGCTGGCTAGCCCGCCACGGAGAGAGATGAGGGGTACAAAGGTACTCTACGTGGGTAGGTAAGACAGACAGACAGACAGGTAGGTGCATGACACGAGTAGCGAGTGGCCATGCATGACTACTACCACCCCTTCATCCTCCTTCATCCTCTTGCTGCTGCTGGCTGCAGCTGCCGCCCTTCCATCCCAGCGCATCCATATGAACCTGGCATGCCCCCTCGTCTCTCAAATCTCTTTGTCACGCCGCTGCTGCTAGGTCTACGAATATTCTAATTGTGCCTTGGACGGGAGACCTACGCGTGCTGCTGACCTAGGCACGCACGTAGTTAGCGTATACGCTATGTAGCTTCCTTAACGTTGCGCACATTTAATGCTTGTTTGTTGCTCTCACCTTTCACGGGCGGATGGGGTGCGTACTCGATGATGTTGCCGATGGAATGATATAACGACATATTGTACGCACGCATATTCGCTTCCACAACACAGTGGTGCCTAATCAGGCACATGCCGGGGGGGGCTGCATGAGGGCTACCACACGTGGCTGCAGTCACGTAGCTGTGGGCGTTGCGTTGGCTGCGCGCATGTACCCAAGTGCATGTAGCCAAATGCATGTAGCTAAATGCAAGTAACGTGAGTACACATGATGGGCCCCGCTAAGAACCAGTACATCGATGCCCGCTCGTCCAACCGCTACCGATTTTTTTCTCGGGACGAGCGTGGTTCGGTAGCAACCAGAGGTCGGCACATCGGTTTCTACGGCTGCGGGAGGGCAAAACATCGGCCAGTAAACCTAAAACATTTTAAAGTTAAACACAGAGTTCAAGTCCAGCGCGCGGCCCTAAGGGCCGAAATAGAGGCTGCACGTCACGTCTTTTGGCCGAGTTTTGGTCATTAGGGACCCGCAGCCCTACGGGGCCTTAAGCCGAATTTCTCGGCTGCGGGTACTGTGGTACGGACCCGCAGTACCCACCCGATTTGCCGACCTCTGGCAGCAACTACCGCTCTTCAAAACCTGCAACGAATGGCCGCTGTATATTTGCTTACTAGCTGCTGTACATGCCGCATACTGCTGTACGCGCCGTACACGGCCCCGGGGTTTGAAGCGGCGCATTCCAAATTTGAGTCCAATATTTCGGAGCCGCTGGCCACCTGAAATCTCCTCCTCCTCCTCGTCCTGACTATCACAACACGAGTAGCTCTTCGACTCCTCCTCCTTTTGCCTTCCGCCCACCTCTAACAGAAGCTGTTAACGCGTCCTGTTAACGCACCAGCAGCCACCGATTCGCCATCCAGCTGGCCAGCTGCCACCGCAACACCAAGACAAAGTTCCTACCTCCCCACCTCCCTATATCTCTGTCTGTACATCCGTCTGTACATCGGTATCCTGCATAACAAATACACCATGCACTGCAGCCACCGTCACCACCGACGGAGCCCCTCTATCCCCTCTGCACTCACACGTAACCAAAACACAAAAGGGGGAAACGCCGGGGCTTTGCACGCCCTCGGTCGAGCAGGAGGGCCGATAGTGGTTCCTCACGCCCCTCTCCCCCCAGAACGAGGAGAGAGCTCTTCGGCGGTCGCTCCCGTTGGGGTATACGGTTAGGTGCCCCTGGCCAGCGTCAGGCCCGGATCGATATGTAACACATGCGCACGGACGCATCCATAAGACACACAGATACACACACAGACAAACACAACACACACCCCACAAGGTGGCCTTATCCGCGCCGCGGACGCATGCATCCACCCTCCTTACTTCCATCCATCACTTCTTGCCCCCAAACAGCCCGCCAAGAAGACCGCCCAGAGATACTCCCGCAGGCCGCTCAAAGCGCTTTAGGAGGCCCTGTCGAAAGGGGGAGGGAGAGGATGGAGGTGGTGCCGGGCCTCATTAAGGGGGAGGGTGAGACGTTGCGGAGCAAAGGAGCGAAGGCGGTGCTACCAGAGGCAATAACTGTCACAGCGAGATGAAGTAGGCGGGAGGGGTACACGTTGCTGGTAGGTGACGTGTTCCAGCAGAAATACGCATCTATGGAGCTATGGACATGACAAGCCTTAAAAAAAGCCCGGCTTTTTTGGGGGGAACCCTTAGCTGCGCTATCAGAAGCGAGCTGTGCTACCAGAGACATGTGTACTGGTAGTGGTGATATGAATCGCGGGTGGTTGTGGTGATGGTAGTGGTGGTGTTAGGCATGGCTTGAAAGACATATCAAGGATGGTAGAACTTGTGAATGAATGACACCGTCCAGAAGGGGGAACATCTCCCGTGGAACGAATGCATCCCGGAGGCGGCCAAACCGACAAAAAACGGTCAACCGTCCACAACCAACCTCGAATCGCTCGTCCTTGCGCAGCGGCTCCAAATCCGGATCGCGTCGCAGCTGAGCAAAGTCGTCGTACCCCAGCTCCAAGCAGCCTGCAGAAACGCGCCACCTCTCTTGTAACACTATATATATAATTAATATTTTTAATTATATATATGTCAATCATATACAATTTGATTATATCTTATTATTAATTGTAGAACTAAATTATTGATTCACATTATACATATTTTTACGTACAATACTCTTCTGCTCCCTAGGTTTAGTGGTTGTAATCAGCCCGTACAGCCTGGAGTGCAGCGCCTTAACGAGCGCTAACTGCACAAACCCACAAATGCACAGAAACCGGGCCACCCCGGAGTCTAAAAAGTGACCACTTGAGGTCCAAAAATGCCGTACAGCTGACGTACAGGCACACAACTGTCACGTCTCCTACAACCCCCCTACAACCCATTAGCCCTTTGCCCTCCAACCACAAACACGGATACTGAAGACTGATTATTAAGCCATGGATGGCTCTCCTCCTACGCACCCCCCTCCTCTCCCCCACAATAAACCAGCTCTCGCTCCTCACTCCATCCCTCACGCCATCCATCACTCCATCCATTCCCTCACGCACTCACTCACCCGCCAGCGCCACCAGCCCACTGCGCATATCCCCCAACTGGGCCTGACAGCAAGCGATGTTGAACAGAGCTGCGGAGCGCTCTCCGTCGCTGATCAGCCGCGGCTTGTCCCTGGGTGGATGGTACATCGCGCGATTGTACGACCGCACGGCATGCGGCCCAGCAACAGAGCGATACAACAACAGCAGTAGACAAAGCGGGAGTCAGGTGGTCAGCCAGGGGGGTTGCGGGGGGGTTGAAAGGGGGAGGAAGGGGACGACGAAACACAGCACGATTGAAGCTGATACCCGGAAGCGGATGCACAGACACTCCAGGACTAGACAGGTAGGGGAGCACGAGAGTGACAACACAGATGATCGTGTGTACGTACACACGGTAAAGCAGCCCTAGTTCAGCAGGACGGACGATGTGTGTACGGACCTGTACCGCTTTAGCCCGGTGCCCGGCAGTGTCAGCGCCTTTTCGTACACCGCCAAAGCCTGCTCCCATCTGCACATAGGCGGATTGCAACCACGCAGGAGGAGAGGGTGGGAAGGGGAGTGAGGAGACCGAGGGAGGGGTATTATCGGTGACGGGACATCTACAAAGGGATAACAACGGAGGACTAGGTGAGAAAGGGTGAGAATTATTTGCAAAACCAAGGCCGGAAAAAACTGCCGACGCGCAAAAAGAATGTGGGTGAACCTGGGGAACCTATATTTTAGGGAGAGGATGAAAGGAAGTGGGGGAGAGAGGAGAGAGAGAAAGAAAAAGAGAGGGAAAAAGAGAGAGAGAGAGAAAAAAAAGAGGGAGGAAAGCTACCGAATGGATTACAGCAGGCCCGACTGTGCCGACCACACCAGGGGCAACTACTGCAGCTCGGCTCCTCGCGCACCTGCCGGCCTTAGCGAGCTTGTTTCCAAGCTCAATAGCTTCCCGAGCAGTCTCCGGCTCCTCCGCCCCCACTGCCAGGGAGTCTGGCTCAGCAGCGCGAAGGGGTGCCAGGGCGACACGGCGATGATGGCAGCGGTCGCTGCCAAATGTGGCTTCAGACCCCGGAACCGCCAGTTGCTTAGATGCAGGGCCGTGATAGGAGGCGATAGGCGAGGGCATCCTATGCGGGTGATGGGGATGGGTTGTTGAGCTGCGCGATGGAACCAGTGGGAGGATGACAGATGCAGGGCGCAAAGACAATTTGCAAAAGCGTTGCATATGGCGACAATATACAGGTATGTAAAATGCTGCAGCTGGTGCTCCGGTTGAAACCAGGACGCGAATTGAATGGTGCGGTGCTCGCCGAGCTTTTTAAGTCCCCGTCGACATCCGGTTCCCCCATTGCGCGCTAAATCAGCTGCAATGACTCACTGTCGTCTGGAAAGGGCCCTGAGGCTCGCGGATCCAGCCTCACGCAAGGACGACCTCAGTAACATTATGTTTTTGGAAACAAAAATGAGCACAGAAGCGATAAACAATGCGGCGGTTGCTCGGCAAGATATTACTGCATACTTAATATTGTGTGCAGGATGAAGTTTCACTGCATTTTTGAGGATGCCGTACTCGTCCGATCTAAACCGCAAACCGATGCTGAAGCCAAGTGGGCCACAATCAATTTGGAACACGTCCCTTTGCCTTGAGCATTGAATCCGATGGCCACTTGACATAGCGCCTGTAAGAGTGTTTTACTGACTTGAGCAATTCGTATTGGTTGCGACCAGCTGGTTTACTGCTATAGTCCCGCTTCGCCCTCGTAATAATAGTTATGCAAGTCTCACACTATAACCTGGCCACCAGACTGCAGAGATGTGCACCATCCCTCACTCGTGCGCACGCGCCGCTGCCGGGCATCGCAGCTCGCAGCGGCACGTACCGGCGTTTTCCGTTGATCATCCAAGCAGCAAAAGGCTTCGGCAAGTCAAAACCGACGCCAGCCAACACCGGCGCAAACGATGAAGGACCTTCAAAGGGCCGCAAGGGCAAGGCTAAGCGTGTGCAGCTACAGCCCGGCAACGTGAGCCCTATCCCCAACCAGCAACGCCAGCAACAGTCCCAGGATCAAATGCAAGCGCAGTTCCAAACCAAGCTAATTGACCCAGACCAATCCTCTGAAGAGGAAGAGGAGTTCATGGCGCGCCTTCAGGCGCTGAAGGCCCAGGGCAAGGAATACGCTGCCGCCGTTACCGCCGCTGACAGCGCCGTCACCGCGACGGCGGTGACGCCAGCGATCTTCGACGCCCCCGTCACCCCCGCTGGCGGCGGTGGCGGCGCAGCCGCCGACGGCATCTACGCCAACCCGCCGCCGCTGTCGCAGACACTGCTGGCCGCCGCTGGCGGCGGCGCCGCTGCCAGCGACATCTCCGATCCCAAACTCCGTGATGCCAATATCGGCCCAAGCCAGCTGGGCCTGGCGGCGGGTGCAATCGTCTTCATCGCAATCTTCGTGATTGTGGCGGCAGGGGATTACGCACCCTCTTCACGGCGATACTCGGGCATAAGGCCCGCGCAGTCGCCGCCGGACGCCATCGAGGAGAAGATTTTGAAGACGAAGATCACACTGTACGAAGATCAGCTCAAAGTGAGGGTGTCAAAGGATATTTCGTAAATACACTTGGTGAACAGGATGGGGGCTCGTCACTACTACGACTACGTTAAGGAAGAAGAACACACCAAAGTTCCACTAGCGCTTTCAACTGCAGCTGCGGGTGTTCATTCATCTGCGGCATTTGCCGTTAGAACACGTGGGCTTTAGATCACCACCACCACCATGGGGGTCTTGGGGGCTGGGGGGGTCGCGGGGGCTGGGGGGGGGTGCACACACACATACACACACATGCACATACACATACGCATACACACGCACATACACACATACACATACGCACATATGCACATATACACACCGCCGGCCCAACCCCCTCCATCAGGCTGATCCCAACAACGACAACATTACGGAGGCACTCGCAACATCGTACGCTCGGATGTTGCAGTACGACAGAGCCGCGGAGTTGCTGGAAAAGCTGAGCAAGAGGTAATAGGGCGCCGTAGCTCGCTCTGCATGCGTCTTAGGTCGGCCTCATATTCGCCGTGGGGCCCTGCACCCAACCATGCATCCCCCACTTTCGTTGCGATCGGCCCACTCCCGCGCCGCCAGTGGCCACATGCACACTGGCTTTCTGTCAGGAGTCCCGATATGCCCGCTTTGTGACTTACCCCCTCCCCCCGCTTCCTGGGTACCCTTCTGTCCGCTGGTATCTATCATCTTCACTCGTGTGTCTGTGGTTCGTCTTTTTCCTTTTCGCCCTCCTTCCGCCCGCTTGGACGCCGCCGCCGCAATAACGCCGACACAGGACACCAAACGATGCGGAGGTTTGGAGACTGCTAGGGGAGAGCTCCCTCCTCAGCCAGCAGCCTCGAAAAGCCGTTACAGCCTTGGAACGAGCTGTCGAGCTACGACGACAGCAGCAGCAGCAGCAGGGGACTACAGCTACAGCCGTCGTCACCCAGCCGGATCTACAGCTTCTGACGGGGCTCGTGGACGCCTACATTGCCAACAATGACTATCCCAAGGCGGTGGACGCGCTGAGGGGGGTACGCGAGGATCTCCAGGCAGCGGCGGCGGCGGCGGCAAGAAGCGCGAGCATGGCGGCGCCAGCGGCGGCGCTGGCCGTAGCGCCGGAAGCCGTCGGGGTCGAGCCGCGGCCAGCAGAACTGCCAGACGTGGCGGAGGTGGCGGCGGAGGCGAGCGTGGCGCCAGCGATGCCGGAGATGCTGACGGCGCCGCCGGTGGCGGATGAGGCCGACGGCGGCGCCGCCGCCGTCGCCGTTTCGGCTGCGTCGACGTCGTTACAGGCGCCGGAACTGGCGGCGGCGCCGGCGGCGGACACGGCGACGAGTGCCTTACCGGCGGCGGCGCCGGTGAAGCCGTTGGATCCCGTAGGAGTGGAGTTGCTGACGGCCAAAGTGTACAGCGCCTGGCGGGGGCATGACCAGGATGCACTGGCAACGTACGACGAGCTGATTAAAGCCTTCCCTGAGGTACGGCACATGGCACATGGTACGCGATGTACGTCATTACAATGCGTTACATGAGCGGCATTCACAGATATGCTTTCATACCCCCGATTTGTGTCCCGTTGACCCTTCACGTGACTTCCCATTTTGAGCACCTGGCCGCCGTATCCCTGCCGTACTCATACCCGGTATTTTTTTCCCGCTGTTCTAATCAGGTCAAATTTGCATATTGCAAAACTTAAAATAAAATAAACTCGCTCTTTCTCTCCCACAAAATCAACAGGATTACCGCGGGTATTTAGCTAAGGGAGTATTCTTGAAGGAGAAGGGTCGCAAGGCGGATGCGGAGCGGATGTTCCTGCAGGTCAGTCAGTTGGGCTTGTTTTGGCAACCTTTAAAGTCTGCTGTTGTTTGGCAGTCGCTTGGATTCGATAGGGCGATCTCCCTGGAGACGTCGATTCAAGGTGGAGAGTTCCTTTCCCGCGTACGTCAAAAAACAATCCTCTCACTCCCTCTCTCTCACAACAACATACCTTCGTCTTCTCTCCTCCCCTCCCTCTCTCTCTATCTCCCTCTCTCTCTATCTCTATCTCCCTCTATCTATCTATCTATCTATCTCCCTCTATCTACATAACTCCATCTATCTATCTATCTCCATCTATCTACCCCGCTACCTATCTATCTATCTCTTCTTCCCGCTGCACAGGCCCGATTCTTCGCGCCGGCCTCCAAGCAGCAGCTGGTGCGGGCCATCGCCGAAACCAAGCCCGCTGCCCCCCAGCTGCCGGACAACAACTAAAGGCCCGACCTCACGGTGGTGGTGCCGGTAGCCATTGCTGATTGGGGGAGGGAGGGAGGGGGGCTGCTTGCTACATACAGCTTGACACTACACGGGTAGGCGAAGTTTTCGTTGTGGTTTTGGAGCTGGCGCGAATATGCCGTACGTGGGGATTGTGCAGAATCCGCGCGTGCCCACTTGCTAGCCTTTACTTACAAGGCTAGGAGTACGGCGTACGGATCGTCTGGTTGTTGGCTTTCGCAACCGGTCTGCGCGCTACCGTGTTTTTTGGCATCATCAGGGGTCGGGATGCTATCGGCGGTTGGGGCCAGATGTCATCGTGATCCTCCTCCCTTCCTCGCAGAGTGCAACAGAAGTGTGCAACACTGGCTCATAACAGTTGGGCTGTTAATATATAATTTTTTTGTGTCTGTCTGTGTCTGTGTGTGGTGTGTGTGTGTGTGTATGGGCGAGCGGCGCTTGTCTTAAGGAGTCCCCGGTGGCGATGAACGCCACCCTCAAAACACCCCCCACCCCACCAGCCATATGTGGGGTGTTGCTACTACCAAGCCAAGAGGGGTGTGCGGCGAACAGGATGGCGGCCAGGAGTGGGAGGTGACACGCGGGTGGCGCGACAAGCACTAGGCTTATTAGGGTGGAGTCCATGGGGAGATGGGGGGGGTTATACGTGGCCCAGATGGGTAGCGTTGCGGTTTCTCCTCTCTCAGGGGGTGCGGAGGGCACCAGATCGCAAAAGGGGGGGTTGCGGTTGCTGAGGAGTATGCTCCGAAACCGGATGTCAGATGTGGGCCTCGCCGCGGTGCGTGAGGCCGGTGGGGCGTGAGGAGGTGTTGGGACGTGGGGAAACAACGTGGGGAAACGGTATATCTGTCTGTATGTCCGACTGGGGGAAAAAGAAAATGTGCGGCGGTCGACACACGCGGGCGAGAGGGCCTCAAGCAGCCGATCCCGCCGCTATCTATGAATCAGTTTTTTGGAGCTCTCCCGGTTTTCCCTTTCCCTTGAAAAGAGACTTACTGACACGCGCAGGAAGCGTCCGTGTACGGCAGCATTTGTACGGCTCAGATGCTCGCGGTTAAGTTAATGGCTACACAACATGGACCAGAAAAAAAGCCTCCACTATTACATCTGTCGTGTCGTCGCTCGCAGCACATCATCATCATCAGCAGCAGCATGCAAACAGCCGACTCTGCAAGCGTGGCCCGTACACGCACATACACATACACTTGGACAGAGAACCAGTCCCGGGGGGAATAATAACATCCTTTCGACAACTGCGGGTAGCTGCTGGTAAGCCCACGCGGGGGGTTTTCTCCGTTCTGCTTCTTCGTCTTCGTTTGTGTGCTAGGAGTGGCAGCAAAGATACATACATACATACATACTGAGAACCTGGACATACATAAATACCAAACATACATACATACATACATCCTTACACAGGATCAAAACACCAACCAGCTCTACCTGGTATAGCTCTTCACCCACCTCCTCCCTCTCCCCTCCTGCCCAGCTCTTCTGCTCCAACCCCACCCCACCCCACCCCGAGATATCATCGGCCCCATTACCATCGGCTTTTTCACCTATACCCGGCCATTCAAGATTCCTACCGTTAACACCCCGATCACGTGCCGTACAACATAAACTACCGGGATCCGAAACCGCCTCAGCCAGTGACTAGAAAACACCGCTCCCCGGCCTCCACCCCATCACGTATTCACTACCTACCTACCTACCTACCTACCTAATGTTCACTCCTCACCTCTAATCACTACCCATTCGCCCACCCCCCGCTACCCCGGGGAAAGCCCGGGGGAAATAAAACACCGTGTGAATTAAAACCCCCAATAAAACCCCCGTCAGACATCGCACCAGATTCCTATTCCATCTTTTCAGTCAAGCGGGAATTTTAGGGTTTTTAGATTCTGATGGCTGAAGGCCGCCATGCAGCTGTAGCAGCGGCGGCGCCGCCGCCGCCGGCCCCTCCATGCGCTGCTGCTGCTGCTGTTGCTGCTGCTGTTGTAGCCGCCGCGTCGCCCATGCTGCCCTCTGGCGCTGACGCAAGGTTGAAAAGGTTTTCGCCAAAGAGTACTGTCCAGCGTCCTGCGCCGTAGTCATCAGGAAGTACCAGGCCGAGTCGTCCGCGCTCAAACCCCGCGTCTCCATCTGCCGTATACAGTCTAACGCCTCCGCTGGCCGCTGTGCCATCGTATAAAACGCAGCCATGCAGGTGTACGACATC